TACAATTGTGTATTATAAGAACGAGATTATTGGTTAAATAACAACAATTTTTTATCATTAATGCACTTATTCATTAGCTTACGAAAGTTTAATCTCAACAATGTGATTATTACTTTTATAAAATTAAATTTGTGTAAACTCTTGATTTTTTTTTAAGAATAGTAGGATAAGCGGGCATTTTAGAATAAAATTATTATTTAACTCTTTTATTTTATTCGTAATATATATATATATATATATATAGTTTAATTATAACATATTATATATATATATATATATATATATATTATTAATATTCTTTTTCAAGTCGAAAGACAATGATTATTGAAATAAATGTATTCCAATCATAGAACATTTTCAAGTTCCCGTTCAATCCGTTTAGTTAAAAAAAAGTAGATGAAAATAGAAAATATAAATAAAAATATATGAAAAATAGCGTAAAAATAATGATGTTGTATTTTTTTATATAAAAAAAGTGAATACAAATAAATAAAAATATATAAAATATAAATTAAAAATCTATTACTAATAATAAAAGTATTATCGGTTGATGGTGTCCACAATTTTTTTAATCAATTTTATTCTTTAATTAACTAAAAAAAATAGAGATAAATATAAAATAAAAAACTATTCATTGATTAATTAAAAAATTGTTGTTCTTTATAAAGACATAGTGTATTTTTTTTACTAGTAATTAATATATTTCTATCTTTTATTAATTTCTGTCTCTATCCTACCAAACACACTTATCATTTTATTTTTTATTTATATATTTCTTTTTCGTCATATTTCTCATTTTCCAAACAAAAGATTAAGCAATGACCATTCAACCCATTCTTATATTTCAAAATTTTATATTGGTTTAATTACTTTTTTATTTTATAATTTCATAAACTTAACTTTTTAGTTTGCGTGATTAAAAATATTTTATTTCAATTTTTCATACATATTGTTTTTGTTTTTGTTTTTTTTTAGTCTTTAAAATTTTATACACTTTACCTTTCAATCTCTACTAATAAAATACAAAAATTAAAATTAAATAAAAATAATATATATAAAATTTAAAATAAAATATTTTTAACCATAGAAACTAATTCGTTAAAAAAAATAAATGATAAAATTTATGAAACTATATATACGTAAAAAAAAATTAAACCTTTTATATTAATTCCCTTGATTATAATTACAAAGTTTAATAAATAAATTTTAGATAAAGCACATCTTTTAATGCATATGATAATCAAAATCAAAGTTTTTCTTCAATAACATATACATCAAAGATAAACATTAAATGAAAATATTAGTTATTAAAAAAACAGCTTTAATTTTAGTTAAATAATAATAATACTAAAAATTTTATGAGTTTTTTTCTTCTTCATTTTAATAAAGCATCTTAATCAGTTTTTTAATAATGTCTCATTTTTTATTATGTATAGTGGTAATAATAAACTCTAGAGTTTAATCTCTCATTATACATAAGAAAAAGAGTTTAATGTCTCGTTTATTTAATACTCAACACCACAAAATAACGTAAAAAGTGAACTTCAATCATTTTCATTTTCATATTATAGTATTTAAATAATCACAAAAAAGAATAGTATAGTATTTTATTTTATTTTTTGGTATTTAACTATAATATTTTGAGAAGTATTATTCTCTTAAATATTTGATTACCTTACTAATAGCATTTCTTGACTTATATTTAATTTCCTAATGATACCCCTTCCCCTAACCCCACCTCCACCCCCTCTCCTTTTCAAATCAACCTTGCGTTGACCCCTCCGTTCAACCCAAAAACAAAACTGGAAAATTGAAGAAACGATCCTAACAATTAGAAATTGGAATCACCCAGAAACAGAGAAGAACCCTTCTTTTTCTTCACTGCGAATTCTCAGCTTTCTCTGCCTTCCCCTTTTTCAGGTGCAAAGCTCCAATAACGTAACTGCCATTCTTTTTAATTTAATTATTGTTGCTTTACGTGCAAGCATCTCCAATTTTTTCCCGTCCTGGGAAAGAAGAATACCACGTTAACACTTTTAGGGAAATTCAATCCATGATTCTTCTGTAAGATTTGTCTCGGAATAAACGTTGTTTGTTTGGGTATTTGGGGGTAACAGGGGAGAGGAAGTTCGAAACTTTTTCTGCCCTGTAATTTTGTTGATTCCATGGGTTATGGGTTGTTATTAGGCAAGTGGGGTTTTGAAATTATTGGTTTTTATTAATTTTGCTGTAAGTGGGATTTTTTTGTTGTTGGGGTTTTGGCTATTATTAGTTGTCTAGGTCAGATTTGAGAGGAAAAAAGTTATTTTTTTTCGGGATGTTCTACGGAATGTCCCAGTGTGGATTTGAGGGTTGAGTTCATTTGAAAGTTTAGGAATTGATTGGTGTTTGGGTAATTAAATTATTGGGGAGGCTGAGATTTGTGAGTAGGGTTGATTGAGGTTTTATTTGAGTGATGGATGAAGCACAGGGTAGTTCAAGTTCCCTGCCTCCTTTCCTAGCAAAGACTTATGAGATGGTTGATGATTCTTCCTCGGATTCGATTGTTTCGTGGAGTGTAACTAGCAAGAGTTTCATTGTGTGGAATCCCCCAGAATTTGCAAGGGATTTGCTGCCTAGATTCTTTAAGCACAACAACTTCTCAAGTTTCATCAGGCAGCTGAACACATATGTAAGAAAAATTTGATCTCGGTGATGTTGATGTGAATGCTACTTATTTTGTTTTGTCTTGTTTGTATTGTCCCATTCTGCTTTTGTTTGCTTAAACTGAATCCTAGCCTCTTTATTTGAGCAGGGATTTAGGAAAATAGACCCAGAACAATGGGAATTTGCTAATGATGATTTTGTAAGAGGGCAACCTCATCTTATGAAGAATATCCATAGACGGAAGCCAGTTCATAGCCATTCTTTGCAGAATCTCCAAGCACAGGGCCCACTAGGGGAGTCAGAAAGGCAGAGTTTTACTGATGAAATAGAGAAGCTTAAACACGATAAAGAACGACTTCTTGTGGAATTACAGAGATATCAACATGAGTGGCAAACATATGAGATACAAGTACATTGCTCGAAAGATCGATTGGAAAAATTGGAACAAAAGCAAAGAAAGATGGTTTCTTCTGTTTCTCATGTATTGCAGAAACCTGTGATTGCTGTAAATATCTTGCCTCTGACAGAAACCATGGAAAGGAAACGAAGGTTGCCGAAAAGCAGCTACTTTAATGATGAAGCTAGTATTGAAGATGCTGTTGAAACTTCCCAAATGTTACCAAGAGAAAATGCAGAGAATACCTCTGTCTTGACATTAAACATGGAGCGATTGGATCAGCTTGAAACATCTATGGCGTTTTGGGAGGCTATTGCACATGATTATTGTGACACCCACGTTCCAGTTCAGTCAAACCTGGATCTTGATGAATCTACAAGTTGTGCTGATAGTCCATCTATATCTTGTGAGCAATTAGATATTGAGAATCGGCCTAAGTCATCTGGAATTGACATGAATTCTGAGCCAACTGCAGCTGCTGTTCCTGAGCCTGTTGCATCCAAAGAACAACCTGCGGGAACCACTGTTGCAGCAACTGGTGTTAATGATGTATTCTGGGAACAGTTCTTGACAGAGGATCCTGGTGCATCAGAAACACAGGAAGTGCAGTCAGAAAGAAAGGATTATGATGGCAGAAAGAATGAAGGAAAACCCAGTGACCTTAACAAATTTTGGTGGAACATACGGACTGCAAATAATCTTCCAGAACAGATGGGGCATGTTGGTCAAGCAGAGAAAACTTAGTGGAATTGCTTATTCTTCTTATTTGTATTGTAGTGCCCTACAATCACATGTAATAAATATAGGTATGCACGGTTTTCTGTTTTTGTCTACAATAAATACATATTCCATAATTCCATATTTTGGGTGGGGTGAATGTTTGCATCCTCCATTGATTCTTTTTAGTTAAGTGTGCTGCTCTTTGGTCTCTTCTTATTCTATTATGCCTGTACTGAACCGTGGTTTGGTTCAAGCTTTTAAATAGTGGACCATATCAGGCAGCTTCAGTAACCGCAACACATCAATTTAGAACCTTGGTGTGGCTATTTCCATTCTATGTTTGATCTTTTTCCCTTCTGATCCCTTTGCAATCCTACTTGTACCATGTGACAGAAGCTGCCTACAAGTTTCCATCCTTTGGTTGTCAGCTTGACTCCATTTTTGTGAATGGAAACCATCCAGCAATTGTAGGGTGGTCCTGATGATGCATCCACAATTTGAAACTAAGAACACTGATAGTATTTTAGAGAAAGCCTTGCTGCTCTGGAATGAAAAAGACTTATTTTTTAATGAATTTATTGATAGTATTGCATTTAGAGAGATTACTGGAAGTGGAAACTATTCCTCGTTTGGGAAACGCAATATAAATTCTATTTGGATAAACTTCTCCATAAATATTTATAGGAGAAGAAATTAAGAAGGTAAAATGCTCCCAGATTCTTCTAAAGGTAAAATCAGCTTATGAATCTTAGCTTTTGGAGAAGTTAAAAGCAAAGAGCTTATGTAAGTTAAGTGCATAAGTTGATTTTAGTCTATGCAAGAAGCAAATTCATTTACCATCCTTATTTTCTTTTCTATAAATGCTCAAGGAAAAGTTTATCCAGACAGGACCACAGTACTTCTACTTTCTTCAATAAATAACTTTTCATAGTAAGTTACATCTTGTCAGTTCCATTATATTATTATTCTGGTAGACAAAAACCGCGTAAAGTGTGTGAGGCTGACTGGAGGAGTTACATCTTGTCAGTTCCACTATATTATTCTGGGAAGAAATTCACGATAGAAGGGTAAATTAAAACTGATTACTAACTAGTGTCCAATCGTCAAACTGATGAAGTGAAAATTACCTTGGATTGAACTGAATCTATGATGCAAATTAACTTCTAGTATATAACAGATTTCATGTTACTTGGGTTTTGAAGTTATGTTGGAAGGCTAAAATGAATAAATGATTACTGAATTTTAGTTTTGGAGAACTTAGATGGAGATTGCTCATTTCTGAAAAAACTTGTTTGTATGTGTTGAAAATCAGAATTTCAATTGTTTGAAGTAGTGCTTTGGGTAATTGAAGCTGTTGCAATTGCAAAGCAAATGGAACATATGACATAATGCCTTTAATATATTGAGGCATATGGCTGATTCATGCGTTCAGGACAGCAGATCATAGCAAGAAGATAATATAAATTGTTTGTTTCTTGGGTAATTTATTTAAATGCACTTCTTAATTGTTGTTGTTGTATTTCCTAATTGGTTAAATAATACCAGATTGAGATGAAAAAAGGGGGGAGGGGGAGTATTGTGATATTAACACTCTGTCCTGTTTGATCAAAGCTGTTGATTTTTGTCAGCCTATCATACTTCAAATATGAAAAAGGGGCTTTCTCCGGCAGATATATTACTATACAAGTATTATGTTTTAGCTGAGTTCTGTCCCAAGAAATAATTATGTCAGTACAGTTACTTGTGGTCATTTAGAGCTTGATTTGGCTAACTAAGATGGTATTAGAACATGGAAGTATTTAGGATTTGTTTGGTTTGAAATTTTTTTTGGTTCTTATTATTTAAAAAAAAATAATTAACAAAATGTTATCTTCTTGTGACTTTGTATCTTGTTTCCTAAGATTTCTATAGAAATGGTGATGAAAACAGTTGCTTTCACCATTTTTTATACAAATCTCACAATAAAAAATTGTTGTGTACAAATAAAGTCTCACATCATTAGATTATGAAAAGAAAGAAAGGTTAATAAATTAAATAATTTTTTGTCTTTTAGTGCATTTGTTTAAACTTATAAAAAGCAATTATATATAAAAACATATCAAATTTGTTCATGTTCTTGTAAGGATGTCAAGATTATACTCTAGCCTCTATTTTTTTAAAAATTTATTCTTATTTTTATTGATAATTTTATTTTAAATGAAATGTATGATTTATTTTTATAAAAAAAACTTGTGTTATATAATATCTTACGTTCGTATCTTAGAATTGTCACTGTATTAAAAAAAAATATTTATGAGAAGTTTATAAGTTACTTTTATTTCTGGAAAGTTTGTTAGAGTGTCTCCAATGCTAGGTTCTTATCCGATTCTTAAGTTTAAGCTCTCATTGCTTATAAGAAACCTGCATCGGAGCATGTTGACATGACAGGTCAAATTGTTAAAATTTAAGCACCATTGCTTATATAAGAGACAATTGCTTAAGAATAAAAAAATAATTTAATATTTCATTTCTTCACTGATGTCAACAACTATAATAATTAAATTTTTTAAAATTTATTAAAAATAAAGTATGAGTGATTAAAAAGTAGAGGTGCTTATAAACAACTTTCATTGGAGTAAAAATTATAAAAATGTAATATAAGTTGCTTATGAGTAACATGGCAGTGTGAGATTCATTTAAAGTGGATGAGAGTTGCTTATAAATAACTCCCATTATAGATGCTCTTAGTCCAAATAAATTATGAAGAACATCTTCCAAATGATGCTCAAAAGCTCTAAATTGCTCATTATTTGAACCATGTAAGTTTAGTTTAACTTTGTTGCACTGTGTATAATAAAGCTATATGATTTTTTGTGCTTTATCAAGATTCGGAGTGAGATAGGGAGGAAAGGATATGAATAATAGAAATAAAATGAAAAAAGGAGTTATTTAGATAGATAAAAATAGAAAAAGAAAATAGTATATGAATTTCTGTTCATTTGCTTGAGTGAGTGAAAAGAAAAAAAATGAAAAATATTTTATGCTAACTAAAAATTATTTTTTTACTCTAATATTTTTAATATAAAATTATTCATATTGTAAAAAAAAAAGTATCTATTTTCTTAAAAAATAAAACAAAAATTGAAAGGAGAGATTAGTTTCCTCTCATTTCATGCCATTTTGAAGGGGAGGGGGTGTTTTCTAGTGAATCCACCAAAAAATAGTTTATTTTTTCTCTTATATAAATGGCAGAAGTTTAATATTTATATTCTATTTCTTTCTTTTTGTTTCCGTATACTTTGTTTATTTAAATTTTTGAAGATCCTTTTACTCTTTCTATTTAAAGAAAAAGAAAAAAAAAAAGAGTTGATGTGTTGTCACATTGTTGAACAACGAACTACGGTCTAAAACTATTTTACTTTATGGCGCATACAAATGAAATCCAAAACTTATATTGCTGTTTACTACTACGTAACTCTTCATTTGATTGGCCTACTTCGTGTTCAATATAACTAAGGAACAAGAGGCACATGAAATGCTATGGAGTGTTTGGATGTGTCACAACTTGTATGTTACATGCTATGGAACATCTCTTTTGAAATAAACACTGAATTTAGTTTCTGCCCCCTTGATTGATGCCAAGTTTGTTAAGAGTTGTGGGATTTTGTAGACTAGTTACCGACCAGTTTAAATTAATGGCATGTGGACAAGAAAACTATTGGATATTAACTTGCAATTGCTATAGTACATTTGGTTATGCAAAGGGGATGGTTCTTTTTTAAACTAAGAATTCAACTTGTTCATTTTGCACTGGAGGGTGATTCTTCTACATTGCAGAAACTTGGAGATTCTAACACGAAGCATTGGGTTAATAGCTACATGGTTGAGGAAGTAATTTGAAGTATTATTTAATGTTGTATATGAGTAAATCATGAGTTATCACCGTTAGCTTTCTTATATTTATATAAATTAATGGTTAAGATAAATTAGGGATTTTGAAAATTTTAATACAGTTTTATCACAATATTTTTCTTCTCATATTTATCTTTCTTTCACTGCGATCCACCTTAAAATGAGGTGAACATTTTACTATTTAATTTCCTTCTTCTGCAAGGTAACTTTTAGGCTTTTACCAGCTACAAACAACAGTAGCTTTCAGGTCATATATAAGAAAATGTTTTTTAATTAAAAAATGTTACTTTTGTTTTCTAATTTTTAAAATTTATATAAAAAGTGAAAATAGCTTTTTTTGTATGTCTTATATAAGTATTTAAATGCAAGAGATGAAATAATAATTTTGCAATTGAAAACAAAAATAGAAATTGAAAAATTATTTTTTTGGGTACAAATTCTTTATGAGAGACAATCTTATTTTAAGTTGAGGAAGATTACTATATATAATAAAATAATTGCATATTCAACATTCTTAAATTTAAGACTATGTCAAGGATATTCCCATTGACAACTTTTTTTTAACTTGTAAGTGATTACTGTAAAAAATAAAAGAACCTTTTTTCAGTGATAGTTAATGATTTGTTTGTTTACAAATGTTGTGTGGAAAAATATTTGAACATATCTCGATATATAAATTAAAATAACCATATTGTATGAAATTATTTTAGAGACTTTTATTTAAAAAGATGTTTTTAATTGACTTTTTTAAAACGAAAACGTTTTTAGTTAATTTTTTCAATGAAAACATATTTTAGGAATTTTTCTCGACCTCTCGTCTATTTTAATATATTTTTCAATTTTTAATTTAATGTTGAATTCTAATTCTTCTAAATAAATTTCAATATATAATTGAAAATAAACTTGTGTTAAAATATAAATTATTTAATTATTATAAAACTTAAATATAATTTATACAAGTTACACAAGTTAAAATACTAATTCTCCTTAAATGAAAGTTTTTAACTTGAGTTTATTTTTAAAGTCAATTAATAAAAATGTATCTATAATTGATTTAATTTAAATGGTGATTTTAACTTACTAAAATTTGAGAATAAATAAACCTTATAATTAATTACATATTTAAAAAATCACTTTAGGGCTATTTAGTTTATTTTTAAAATTAATTGATAAGGATGTAATCAAAGTAAATTATAATCTTAACTTATAGACAACTTTATTTTCCCACTTCAAAAGACAATGAGAAATACAAATTTATTATATAAGTTTATAAGTTTTGACATCTAATGATAATTTAGAATAGAATGGAATAGGGTAGAAGAAAAATGCAGTGAAATAAGAAGAAAACAAATATATTATTTCATTATTTGAGCATTTTATAAGTAATTGGATGCTCCCATCTTATTTTCTGAATTGGAGGGAAAGAAAAGGGGGTGTATTTCTTCTTCCTTTTAACAATCCAAATAACTGAACTTAGTATCATTTGATTCCACATATTTTTTTCCCTTTTATCACAAGAAAATTTTTCGTGTTTTAGAATTGGCTAGTCAGGGCTATGTGTTCTCAACATTCATGAATCCAATGTTACAAGAGAAAGCTTTAATGCTTTATTAATTGATTACTTTTATTGAATTCTACGTCTAGCTAGTTTTGTTTATGTTCAGTTATCAATATTAGATTAACAATTTAATTTATTTATATATTTTATCTATAAATAAATTCATTCAATTCATCTATTATAATAAAAAATAATAAATTAAACCTAATTCATTTATTTAATTTTATGAATGAATAATGATTCATTCATTACTTATTTAAAATTCATTAAATTATGATATGAAATGTTATATAAAAATATAACGATTTAAAAAAATGAGAAAAATAAAATATTTTAAAAATAAAAAATTATTTAATTTTTAGAACATTATTTTTATAGATGTATTGATTATCCACCCATAAAAAAATGTTAATGAATAAATTAAATTTTTATATGAATTTTTAATAGATTTAAATAAATTAATAAATTATTTTTATCTATTTCATTATAATCCACTTTAAAAAAATTATGTGATTAATTTATTTACCACCCCTAATCAATATGGAGATGCATCTATAGAACATATCCATGCCAAACTAATAAATGAAAATATTAATTTGATCATGTAAAGCCTACCTGCAGCATGATTAAAGTGGAATGACCTATTTATGAGCCCCTAGCAGGTAGGTTAACTTTATTACTTGTGTGTGTGTGTGTGTGTTTTTTTTTTTTTTTTTAATAGGTATCCCAAGTAACCAACTCAATTGACTTTTAAAATTGCTTTGATCTTGTGTGTAACTCGGAACTTACTGCTATGTTTTTAATTTATCTGGTATTGTGTAGATGTGGCATAAATGCCTCACTTGGAAGTAATTAGGTCATGGGTCTTGTATCCACAAGAGAATAGGATACAGGTTCTAGATAGTACAGAGGTCCAAAATCATGTATTGGGGTACACTTGGGTTTCCTAATTTCCTGATATTGTAGATTATAATAATAGCCATGTATAGTATTTTCTTTGTAGCTAGGTTGTATCATTTATTTATCCTAACATAGATGATGGGAAATGGTACCTTCGTAATAAAGATATCTCACAAACTTGAATTTTTTCACTCATTTGATGACTCTATTTTATGGTCTCACCTAATGCCTCCCAACATGCTGGCTGCCCACTTGCGAAAGTTTAAGAATTTATAAGAAGCTTTATTAGTAAAACTAACATTTCTATTGGATGACATTTACATCAATGCTAGAAGAGATGAAACTTTATGACAATGAGTCGGTCACAAAGATATGACGTTTGAAATATCAGAGGCTTCATTCAAGTGCAAGGTGTCTTCAAAGAGAGACACGCTAATTTATTTTAGTACTACATATCACAATGAAAGAGGGGAAAGGAAGAAAAGATTCTTACAAGGTCCTAGTCAACCATGTGACGGTAGTTCAAACGGTCCAGATATGTTTTATGTGGGGCTTATAATGGGTGAAACCTGCTCATGAATCTCAGTTTAGTTTATATAGAAAAAAGTTCAATGAATCAAAAGTTCAACTTCATTTTATAAAGACGACCAGCTTCACCTTTGGCATATTCAACTCATTTATAGATTATAATCATATATTGGTAAGGATGAACACAAATCACACTGAACAGCATACTAGAATATTTGTATTGATCACATTCTTATGACATTTTATTTGTATTGCCACAACTTCTTTAAAAACTAAATAATTATAAAATCCATGCTAAAGGTATCTGATGGTGTCTAATAGAGAAATACTGATCACGAGGATTGAAGAATAGTCCCCTTTCCCTTTCATTCATTTCCCAAACACAGTTCTTCCACCGGCATGGACAATGTCTTAAGGGTATTATACTGATGTGCATGTCTAGGAGACTAGGACCATGCTGATGTGAATAGCAGCAATGTCTTTTGTGTATTATATGTGCATTCTCTACTTTTGGAATTTTTTACCATTTGGATTTTTAGATTCCTTATTTCCTCAACAAGTTTCACCTCTTATAAGTGTCTCAGATTTCTTCCCATATCCTACCCTAAAAATAAATAATGCTAAAGAATGAACATATTGCTACAAGCTTACAAGCATCCTCCTGACTTCAAAAAGATAATCATGATTTGTGTGTAAAGGACTTGGTTATTTAGACTTACATGCACACAAAACTCTTATTAGTAGTTATCGAAATTTGTTGAGATCTTGATGCAACTTGAATTTCATACAAAACATGAGAATAGAATAGAGAAATTCAAGTTAATAAAGCATAACTAGAGAAATTCAAGTAGAGTAACTATTTACAATTCAGCCAATATTTTCCTAGAAGCTAAACATTATGTTGTTAATCACAGCAGCAACATTGCTTTTCTGATTGAATACCCAAACTGTCTTGGCTCATACACAACCATACCTGCTTGAACACTTGGATGATGAGATCATGGTACTCACTAGAATTCAAAGTCAGATAACATGCTAACAGATCTTCCATTTCATCTGGCTGGCTGATCTGTTTCTCTGTGATCATCTCAATCATTGAATCTCTGAAATCTCTCTGAGGATCCAAAGAACATTTCACCACTGCAAAGCTATCTGACCCTGCTGTTTCCTCCACAATTTCCTCTTCTTTTTTCATCTTCAGTTTTGCCTTCTTCTTCTCTTCTATGGCCTTTATTTTGCGGACTTCAACCTTAGAACCCATCCTTGGAGAATATACTCTAACCTTGGAGTTCTGCTTTGGTTTCCTCCTCTGGTTTTCTCTGCTCACATGAAGTGATTGCCTTTGTTTGTTACTCTTTGCTTTCAGTTTCAACTCCTCGGTTTGCTTCAAATTATGCCACTCAGAACCCAACAAGGGACTACACACACGAGCTTCTCTGAGACCTCCAAGGCCATAACTCTTTGAATCCACAGAAGAGGAAAACAAATGCTTTCTTGGTGTGCAAATTGTTCTTGGTGACTCAAATTGCATCACATCATTTTCTAATGGACTTGATGCAAACTCAGCTTCCTCTTCTGCTCTTTCCAATTTCAAGAGCTGCTCCTGCAAAACTCTTTGTGCTTTTCTCTCATATCTCCTCCTTAAGGACTCAAGCTCCTTAACACTCTTTGCTGCTTCATCCAGCAACTTTCTTTCTTCTCTCAGTCCAGTTTCTTTCTGCTTCAACTTCTGAGTGCTTTCTTTTCCACCTTGTCTTCTAGCATTCACTCCACCAAAACTTGAGGATGGAGTGCCATGTTCAGCATCCAAATTGTACTTCACATGTTTCAAAACATGTTCACTTTTCTTATTATGCTCGTTACCCTCTTCACCAAATGAGAGTCTCCAGAAAGCCTCATCATCCCTTCCGTAAAACCTGCCTTTATTGTTCCCATAAGCATAATGGGACGAACTATCAGACGGAGTTGAATTTTGCTTCAGTGTTCCTGGTTTTGCCTCTGAGTTGATCCTCATTTGCTTGAACTTAGACAGCCATGAAAAAGGAGAGACATGAGATATGAAAGAAGGCCTAGAAGAAGAAGAAGAAGAAGAAGGCTTTCTTCCACCCCACTTCATATTTTGCTATTGTGTTTGTAACTCTTGATTTGATGAGCAGGTTTATTAGTCTTCAAAGATAAAGAGCATAATGGGGTGTGAGTTGAGAGAGTTCTAGCAGTTAGTGGGACGGTTAGGCTGTTAAATAGGAACGTGGGTTTCTTACTGGTTTCTGCTATGTTTTCAAAAGAGATACCCGCCCCAATTCCTGTGACCACTTTTCCCACTTTTCCTACTTTTTGGTTTCTACTCAAAAAAAAGATTTGAGCCAAGGAGGGACCACTTGTTAGGCCCACACGGTAATAGTAGAAGCAGTCACAAATTGGCAAAAATTGTTAATCACAAATTAGGTTGCGTATATGAGAAAACCAAAATGGTTATGAACCGGGTACAATGCATGCCTTATTTGAAGGACACTAACATATAATAGTAGAGGTTGTCTGTAACTTTATTGTAACAAGAAGAACTAGAGTTATAGACCAGCACATGTCATTTTGTACAACAGCTACTTCCTACTTAGCATTCGCCTCGACCTGAATAATGTTGCAGTCCATTTGAATATTAACTTTGTTTTCACCATATAATCCATGTACAAGGCTTTGTAAAAGGTGCAAGACTAGAGAATAGAACAGTTTCTTTTGGATTCACTGGGAGTGACTTTCCTTCAAATCCTTGTCTCGTCTTTTGCTTTTCCTGGCTTTATTTATTTGCAGTTTTCTCATCTTTTTTTTTTTTTTTTTTACTAATTGGCGAGATCTACCGTGGTACACATGTTGGTAGCATACACTATTACTAGGATTAAGCATTATGTTTGGCGGTTGGGGTGCTCCAAGTTTACTCCTGTCTCTCTAGGCATGTAACACTCTAACAAGACCAAAAATGTTGCTTTCAGACGTGACCAAAATGTGATATTTGGTCAAATTTGACACCCAGGTCACTCCATTTTGCACCCATTGGAATCAATGAGAAATTCATTTCTTGACCATCTTGTAAACTTTTGAAATATAAGGACTACAATATAGGTCGTGCAAAATAGAAGCCTATAAATTAAACTTGTTCCTATATGATAGAGATTATCGTAACTATTTCAAATATACACTTACTTCACATAATTTGTACAATTGTATGACTAAATTATAATTTATTTCTGAAATTTTAATTCGATTGGTTAGTGCAACGGTTTTTTTTTACTGATTAGTGCAACGGGTTAAACAGTTAATTAGGTATAATTACAATTTGATTAAATTATTTTATTTAACAGTGATTTGATCACTAATGTAATCGTTTGAAATAATCAAACCACCACTTGAATGTCTCTTTTAATTTACTTTTAATTGTGTTATTTATTATGGCATTTTTTTTTTCTTCTCAAAAACTTGATGAATCTAAAAATTTACCAATCATTTGTTTGCAATAATCATCCACGAGAGAGACGATAAAAGGCTATTTTCACAGTTTACTTTATAAATTCATTCACGAGCATTCTTACGAAACTTTCGTACTAAAAAGAAATTTGTATTTATTTTTGTAGTTTGTTTTATATAATATTGATCATAACTCATAAGATAGGCAAAAACAGCTTGCAGTTGTACTAATTTCTTAAATGAATTTTTACTAACAGTTTCAGAATGTCATTAGCCTTTTGTCCTATAGAAGGTGTTTTTCCATTTTATTTCTCTCTCTATATATATAAACTATAAAAGGTTATTAATTAGTTTGCATAAAAAAATATCTTGTAGTAATATATCTTTTGCACTTGTATTTATATATGCATTTTTCTTTACTCTATATATTTATAATTTGCTAATCTTATAAGTTGGTGTAGTGGTTAAATATCATGTTTTTATATGTTGGTATTTATATTTGTATTATATTTACATTTTTTTAAATTTTTGTCGTGGCAAAAATTCACCGGATCAATGAGAGTTACAATATTGTGAGTAAAATTAATCTTTGACTTAGTAGATTAGGATATACATGTGATATAATAAAAAAAATACTTTTAATTTATTATCAAATAACTAAAAGAAATATTAAGTATATTGTCCTTCTGAAATCACTCATTAAGTACCATGCCAATCCTCTTTTTTCGTAGTCAAGGATAATATTGATTTCTTTGCGAGTTTATGTGCCAATAATATTATAGATGAAGTATTGTAGAAGAAAAAAAATATATTGATGTGATTTTATGCAAAAGAAACTTGACACAATACTACCATTTTAGCAAATGGTCCATTGTCACGTATCTATTGTATCATGAGATTCTGCTTGTCTCCTCCATATTATGCTGTATGAGCTCTTAAGGTCCAACCCAAGAAATAAGGTTCTGAAGGTCAACAGGGGAAGTGGGGAACCTTCATTTCCAAGCAAGGTACAAGACCAATAAAGGCATAGCATAGATAAATATTCGGTTAGTTATGAAATTCTAAATTGGTTGGTTGTGTTGTAATTTGTCAACAAAATAGGTCATCAAATTGATTCTTTGGTTGCCTGTTTTGATAGATGACCCAAACCTTCAACTACGTACACAAGAATTTTAATTGGGCCCATAATCTTTTCCAAGTTATTTCATTTTCATACTTACACAATAAATCCTTCAGCTTATAGTATCCCATTGTTCTTTTTCATTATGACGTGACCTGGGTTTTTTTTTTATGAACTTATATCCAAAGAGAATCTTTTCATCATTCCCATATTATTGCATGAAATGACATATGCATTTGATACTACAAGGGAAAAGGGGTATTATTATACAATATGTAAAGGAAGAAAATAGCAACTCCTTTTTCTTGTTTAAGAGAATTTCTCAATACTTATGTCTCAACTAATCATTCGAATGGGCAAATTTACAAGAAGTCCAATTCCCTCTACCGGTTTGTTGCTTAAGAAGGGAAGTTTCTCTTTGCACCCTCTCCCCAATTATATTTATATAATTAAACATGGCAAATGGGTCTATTTATTTTCATTTCCCGTGGGTATATGATTGAATGAGACAGGTTTTCCTAATTTGATGGCACTCTTCCACTTGCTTTAACAAAAAATTGTTGATTAAACCATTGTCATTTTAAAGCTAGGCCTTTGCCTATCAAATTAACTTAATTTCACATTAATAGCTGTGAATTTATGATAATAGAGGTCGGAGTTCGAATTGCTGAAACCCAATCAAAATTGGAAATATTTGGGTCATATTACAGTTATGCTGCTTTTTGAAAGATAATTAGTACCAGAACTCAATCTTTGAAAGAGAAGCTCCAAACAGAGGTTCTTTAACATTGCTAAAATTGATATTTTGCTGTTGCTAAATAGAAGCATTGAACTTTAGCAAAATAATGAAAACTTCATAAAAAAAAATACTCCTTGCTTGATTCTGAAATTGCATTTAGCATTTCAAAACAAATTACCGAAGTGTTTGATGTGTGCTAAGGGAAAGGTACACAAGATAATTATTTAGGAAGAGGAAACACATTCTATTCTTAAATGGTTAAAATTTTCAGGTTGGCATGACTTTTTTTTTTCCCCCTCTATTCATCTACTTTATTATAGAAGTCACACTCAACTGACTCCTTACAAACAACACCTAACATTTCACTTTATTTATTACATGAGCATACATGTAGATATGGTTGTGTGTGTAAATTTGTTTCCAACTCCATCTGACAGCATTCACTTTGGTCTTGAAGATGGTAAACATCATTAGAAACGTTCATCAGTCATCTTTCATGCAACTGCCAAATGCTACATGACATGTATTGCTTGGTCGCTAGACAATTAATTATCTACCAAGTATTTGTAGGACATATCATTTCATTTACTGGTTGATAAGTATGAGTAGAAAGATGCAGCATATTAAGATGCATCTGATTGTTAGTTTCTCATTTTCAAGAGAAGGACTGTTCTACCTGCATAATAAACTTACTACTATATTTTTACACTTTTTACTAACTTTCTCAAATTTCTCAATTCTTAGCCCCCTAATTAAGTACAAATAGCCATCAATGACTATGTCGAGCTTCATTAAGTATAAGCAAAATCCCAACAAAAGCCTAACCCCCGCCATGATGAAATACATATAGCAATGTGAATCCAAGACTTTCTATATTAGTGAATCAAAAAGTTTTACATGAAACAGATACAAGGCATAATTAAATAGATGCAATTTCAGTTCGATAAAGATTATTTTTATCCAATTTCAAGGAATTAATTTTAAAAATCTCTTAATTTTTTTTGCATATATATCAACTTGTAATTATAAGAGAAGAAAATAACATGAATAAGGTTGTAAAATGAACAAAAAAATTTCACAAATTCTTTAGTCTAACTTCTCTATAAATGGAATACCCTCATTTTCTTATTTGCATAACTAACAAAAAGTATTATTATATTTTTAAAAGTAGTGTTTACAATTATAGTTTAACTAAACTTTTACAAGAAGTTTAAATTAGAGTAAGATACCACTCCATGTAAGGTCAAAGTCATTGTCTGGTACTCCATTCTTATTTTAAGTTCAGATGAAAGGAAATAAAATATAAAAATAGTTTCAATCATGCTTTATAATTAATAAAAGTAAAGAGACTTAACCGACTGTGTCATCCTCATGAAACATAATTTAACTAAACTAAAATGGACTTGAAGAATTTATAATTAACTATTTTTTTGGGAAAAAATGATCCATTTGAATAAATTAAAAATTTTGTGAATAAAAACTAAAATTTATAAGGTCAAGTATTAAAAATATTATTTAACAAAATGTTACGAGCTATTGGTTGTGTATATGAAGATATTTCGCTGAGTATAAAATTCAATTAATTAAGTAATAGGAAGCTAGTTGTGTTGAATGAGAATTCTCTCTCTCTCTCTCTCTCTGGAGTTCTAAAATCGCAGCCCACAAGCCTTACTCTATTGCTCACTCTTTTTTTTTTTTTTTCCTGACGGGCTGAGTCCTTACCATGTCGGGCCACGCCCTTGCACAATGAATAGAAGTTAGACTCATGATATATATACCTCCTTCTTTTAATAAGTACACCTCCTTTATTTTTTAAAAAAAATTATAAAATATTATAGTTTTTTTTTAAAAAAATTCTAATTTTATATTTTTAGCTTTCAATTTGCTACTTTTTTATTTTTTTTCACATACTTTTTTTTCTCTTTTAGTTTTCACATGCTACCAAAATAGGTGAGGTGAAGGAAAGGTAAGGGAGTGCATGTAAAAATTGAAAAAAGGAGAAAAAATATGTGAAAAAAAATATTAAACTAAATATTGTGGATGTAAAATTAAAAAATACAAAATTAAAAATTAAAAAAATTAAGAATATTTTAAATTTTAATTATTTTTTTAAAAAAAGGAGGTGTACTTATAAAAAAAAAAGGAAATGTATATATCATAAACCTAGAAGTTATTTCTTCCTTGGGCTTTATTGGGGCTGGTAAACCCATTGGCCCAACATGAGATAAGTGTTGGTAGGTGGAATCAAAGGGTCACCGAAGCTTGTTGAGGCAGGACGGTTGGATCAGGTTGAGTGAGGGAACCTTCTCATATGCAATTATGCATCCATACTACATTAGAATCTTTTGAAATAGATATTATCTAAAACTACATTAATTTATTAGTTGAATTGAATTATTGATCTTAATCTCCTTAACCAATTAAATTTTTTAGGTAGAGTAAACATTTCGTTTTCATTACCTAAATTAATTACAAAACATTATTTTATTTTTACTATGAAGACAATATTTGCTTTTTTTCTTATATACACACTTTCAAAAGAGGACTTAAAAATAACTTGGTATATTTATCATTACATGAGAAAAAAGAAATTTAAGAAAATGTTTTGTATAACCAAAGAAATATAATTTTATATAACTAAACAAAATTTTCAAGTCTTGTCGTATGTTCTACTGGTTGTGGTGCGATTTTCAAAGAATAAATAAGACCGGTACCGTAGCTTATATATACAGAAACCTATATTCTCAACAAACTCTCTTTGTCACTGTCTATTAATTAGAAACCTAACAACACTAATTAATACAGTACTCGCTTAATACGTCAAGTCATTAAGGGGCAATAGAGTGGATGGATCCATAATCAACCTATTTTACAAAGCCAAATAATTAGTTATAATTCACTGTAAAAAAATATATATATTCTTAGAAAAGCACCAAATGGAGAAAATAATGCGGACCCAAGACACTAAGTTGTGCTTCTTCTAGGACTGTGAAAAGATAGAGTAGATTGAAGCAATTAAGAATATTAGTGTTATTGTCATCATTACAAGATAAGCTGGATTATGACAATGTCTAAAATCTCCAATTGTGTGCAGTCTATGTTCCTCCACTATGAAGAATATTAATTTAGTGGAATTGGCCCAAGCAACGGGGCATGAACGTGCGTGTAGTACATGCAAACTTTCCTTTTTCAAGAGAGGTTAATGGAAACAGCTTGGAATACTGTGGTCAAGGGTGGCTCAAATCACTGCTCCACCAAAAATGATATTCCTAGTAACAAACAAGTTATCATCACAACCATTGCCACTTTCAAACATAATTAGAGGATTCCAATCCCTTTAACTACTTTAAACGAGACGAAAGTAACATATAATTATCAGAAATCACCAATTTAGCTTCTATTTGATTTCTTTCTCTCTTTTTTCTTTGAAAAATTATTAAAACAGTTTAATACTATTCTACGAATAATTTCTCATCCAAAATCTCTAGTAGAAAACCACAATTGCTCTTTCAAAACAGTAAACCTTAAAAATTGTTTTTTTTTGTTGTCTAAATTACAGATAATTAGAAAATATTCAAAGTTGTCGAGAGATTAAAAAGAAATATATTTCTCTTTTTAGAAACTAAAAGAAACTAAATAGGTTTGGTCCATCCTTTTTAGAGCTTAAAACTTATTTTAATTTTAATTTAAAATATTTAATTATTCCATAATTTTTTAAACATGAAATTTCTTAAGTAGTATACTACTAAATCTTGAGATTTCAATAAGAACAAATTTTTAAAATAAGTTTTTTTTTTTCCTTTAGAATTTTGTTTAACCCGATTTCTCTTTTAAAAGAAAACCCTAAAATAAATTAAACTAACACAACATGTTCTATTCATATTAGAAGATAATTTGTTTCTTCAATTATCCCCTTCAATCTTCTGTCTATCTTTGGACCTTAGATCTTGATTCTTATGCTTATTTGTTTTACTATTTTGTACAAATTAGTATGATTGTTATCTTTTTTTAGTTAATAGACATAATTTACGTAATATTTTAAAATTAACAATCAAAAATTAATTTCTTTATAAGACATAATTTTTACTAAGTAAATATTATTTTAATATGAATAAAAATTGATTCCAAAAGCATTAACTCAATCTCGTGCTACTTAATCATTATTAGACCTCTAACTTTCTATTTTTATAAAAAGTTCTTTTATCTATAAATATAATTCATGCAATATTTTAAAACTGATAAATTAACCTACGTCTAACTTATATATAAACCCTTAGAGCATCTGCAGTGGGGATTGCTTATAAGCAACCCCCTATGCCACATCATGCGACATCAGTTCTTTTTCGCTTTATGAGTCGCTTAAATTTTAGCAAAGTTGCTTGTAAAAATTCCAGTGTTAAAATTTAAGCAACCCATAAAGTGAAAAAGAACTGATGTGGCATGATGTGACACAGAATGTTCTTATACTAAAAAAAAAATAATTAACTACATGTTAAAAATATAGTACTACGTACTAATACATAATTAATATATGATGAAAGTATTAAAATGGACAATAATAGTTCATTTTACCTCGCAAGTAATTAATATTAAATAATCACATATATATTTTTAATTATCTATTTTTTCAGATAGATGCTGAGTGTACAAACTAGTGTGACGTTTATGGTTTATCAGTATGTTTTATTAAATAAAAGCAGCAGGCAGCATCATTCAATTTATCTTCCTATTCTTTTTAATGTGATATTATATATATAGATATATAGAATCATGAGCTTGCTATTATTGTTGCTGCCATCAACCAATGATAATAATCTAATCGAAACAAATCAAATGGCGCCTCCTTTGCCGACCCCTCATGTCAGTTCATATGAGAAAGAATAGTATGTTAGGCCCATCCTCCACCACTCAATGCCACCAACTACTTTAATCTCCAAATACCACTCAACTTTTCTCAGTATCTGCATATCATATGCTGCACATTATTTTAATATACCTGCCCATTATCCCCCGAGCCCATAGGAATTGAACAAAGCGAGTAAGAGTCAAAATGATAGAGCATCTCTTGTGTGATTCACAATCCTTCTAACGTTAGGCAGAAAAAGGTAGTCATATCATAGCAGCCAAATAAACAAGATACTGACAAATAACTTTATTTGCAGTAGAATTATATATATAAAAAAAATTATTAGAAGAAATCGGTTTCTTAAATAGATCACGATACCTTAAAAAAAAAAAAAAAATCATGGCAGTCAAATAATTGAACATTCACTCGTGTAGTCTAGAATACAAGAATAGATACTTCTCGCGACAGAATTAGCGGACTATGTTAACACGGAATCATGCATGTTACAATACGCTTGAGGTTAACTCGTTACAACTCAGTTGGAATCTGAATTGAAGACTACAAATTTGATAACTGAAAACTTGCCAACAAAGAGAATGTATTCTACCTCGCTTTAAGCAAAGATGACATCTGACAACTCGATATACTTGCACTATAAATAAAGACACAAATATAAAGTTATGACAAACTACACTATCTTACCGTTTAAATACTTTCCCGCTGTGTAAATCAGTTCAAATTTTGGCTACCCCGTGTCCATGCTCTAATAAAATAAGTAATAAAAAGAAAGTTAATATAAACTACCTATGTTCCAAGATACACATGTTGATGAAAATAAAAAAAACCGTTGTTGCACAAGAAAGTTCAGTGATCCTATGTTATTTATAAATGACCAACCAATAAAAAAATACCAGTAGCCATTAGAAAACAACTCAAGACTGTTACTCATCCTGTCATAACCCTCATTGGCTAAATCCAAGTTTTTATATCCTAAAAATATATCGTTAGTAACTCTTAAAATAGAAAGAAATGTTCACAATAGCGCACGTGATGACTCCCTGTAAATTTAACAAAACAAGTTCACATTGTAAGAATTAAACACAAATGTGGCGTGAATGCATATGTGCCTAGTCAAAATCGCAGCAATCATACATATAAAAGAAGTAGCGTTACTATTAAAAATCCCATAAATTGGCATTGTGGAAATTTATCCGCAGTGATGGCTAGCAGCATAAAAGCACAAAAGAAATAGGACTCCTGAAATGATCTAATAATTCCACTTTAGAACATTTTGTATTCTTTCTTGCAATAAGTGATTACACATTGGTTGAAGCTAACTGCTCAACAACACATCATTCTTAGAATACATCTGGTATTCCTATACTCAATGACTTTCAATTTCAATGAAAGAATCTATAGAGTTACAACAAAAATCAAGAACATATAAAAATGGGAATGAATATTACCATTATAACACAGGAACAGAAATAGACATCGGAAGTGAAACATCACTCACAAAGCTTGTAGTATTCCTAGTTGAAGCTGAGTCACTAGCAAATGCATAACCCACACCTAATCCACCATAATGCAGAGATGCATTTTCACATCTCTGAAACACTCTAGCAAGTGAAGCTGCCTTTCTTCTTGCCCTCTTTGTCCCTGTGAAAAGCAAAGTTTGAAGCAATCCGGCCAAAGCTGGTGCCTTAACCACCCTCTCGGTTGCAGCTTTGCCGCCACTCCTGCACAGCTCCAACAATGCTGCAACTGCATTCTCTTTACCTCTCGGCGTTCCACAACGCATCATTCCAATCAATCCAGCAACCGCTGCTTCCTCCTTTACCACAGCTACGGCACCAACCGGCTGCCGAACAATCAAGGCCAAGGCACCAGCTGCTTCCTCAGCAACTCCTTCATTCCCCAAAGCCACAACCATAGCCTTGACTGCCCCTGCCTCTATCATTCTCAAACAATTCTCAGTGTGAGTGGAGAGATTAAACAATGCTGTAACAGCATCCTTCTTCCCTCTTTGAGTCCCCTCTTGCAACAACCATGCCAGTGCTTCAACAGCTCCCACATTATCAGCGATTCGCTTCTTATACTCATGGACAGCAGAGAGGCTGAACAATGTTGCAGCAGCATTCTCCCTTGCCTCAGTTGTGAGCCCGAATTGCAGCACCTCAACTATTGATCCCAGACACCCTTCCTCCTCCATGATCATACTTTTATTCCTTTCATAAATAGACAAGTTGAGCAATGCAGTCACAGAATTCTCCTGTGCGACAGCATTAGGAGAGGAAAGCAAGTTCCTAAGATGAGGAATGGCCCCAGCTTGCGCGATGAAGGCGCGATTTTCCTTTCCAGTTTTCGCCAGCAATCTTATCTCCCTAGCAGCAAGAGTCTTTGCAGCCTGCGACCCATCAGCGAGTTGTTGAATGAGAAGCGTGGCGGTCCCTCTGTTAGCTGCAAGGGCAGCTTTGGAGGGACAAGCTGATGCAAACATCTCAACAGATGCATCAGCCACCTCAGGGGGGTCATAGGGTACCCCATGTGCAGTGCACCACTGCATAATCAAATTCCTAAGAGCACGATTAGGGACAAGCCTATTATGACTAAGCAATTGCCCCGTTTTGGGACAAGTACAATGTCCCTCCTCCATCCACCTCCATATACACCTCCTATCATAAGTTTGACCGGTGGAAATTATCACAGGATCACTCATCAAATCCAATGAAATAGGACAGCAAAAGTCCTTGGGAACAGTCAAAAACGTTTCAGCAATTTCCTGAGTAATCAACCTCTTCCTCCCCTTCTTCTGAATCTCAATTTCCAATTCTTCCTCAAATCCAAACAATAAAAACCTGCAATACCTTGTGATAGCCACCATGCCATTAAGCACAGGAACTGTTGGCTCAACATCGCCCTCATGATTCACAATCTGCTCCTCCAAGGCTTCAACCTCCACCCTGCAACTATTAGCATCAACAATCTGCAACTTATCCACAAAGAAACACTTCAAGTCCTTAGAATCAGGAACCCTTCCATTCTCAAACTCATCAAGAAACCAATAGAACCTTATCCTAAGTGCATCATCTTTCTTGTCTATGAACAATTTGGCCTTTTTGGATTGTCTCTGCAACAACTCAATCTGTTCCCTAATATCATCACTGAGGCCAACCTCCCCAACGGGGAAAACATCCAAAAGGGTCGAGAATTCTTGGCTCAAATCATGGAAGTGACCAGAAACACAATGGTTCTGAAGCAACAGCCACAACTTGCTCGATTGGGCACAGTAATCAAGAAGAATCTTGGAGCGATACAGCAACAGATAAAGCTCCTTCAAGCAGAGCACCACCGTGGGGGGAAGAGCGCCGCCGCCGGAGTCTCTCAAACACTCTAACATTGACCGAAAAATCTCGACTTTTCCGATGAGGGAACGCGAGTTCCGGCGCTGGAAGGGGAACCGGTGGCCGGAGAAGCAGGACGCGACTTCGCCGGCGACGGAGATGAGCGTCTCCACCAGCATCACGCCGGAGAGGTCAACCGGCGCCAGAAACGCCTCCAGAGACGGCGAGCGACGCCGCCGGAGCGACGAGAAAATTGCCCCAGAAGCCATCGGAAATTTAATTTTGTATTTTCCGAAATTGGGTGGCACCCAGATGGTGATTTGAGGAACGGTGCTATTTCCCCAAGGAAAGGGGATATTTTTGGAGTGGTGAGAGATTTTGGCGGAAAGTGTTTTGTGGGTTTGGAAACGGTGGCATGCTATGAACCAGTTTAGCGGTGGTTGAGTGAATGTTTAAAGAAGTGTGAATTTGGAAGTCACGAGAGAGATGAAGTTAGGATTGGATTATGCTAATAATTTCGGCCAAATCCGCGTATGTGGAAACAAAGGGACTGAATTTCCAAAGACTTTTGTGTTCTTTGGGTCATAAATTATTATAAATTTCTCTCACTACGAAATTCAATGGAGCCGTCCTCCAGAAAATGACTTTCCTTGCTTTGACGGGTCATTATGTAATGTGTTTCTATTCAGATTATGGTCTTTTTATTTTTTTATTTATTTTTTTTAATTGTTTAACTTTGCTGTAACTGGAAGAGGAAGGAAGATGGTGAACCCTCCCAGGGAGAGAGACAAGAGGGTCAGGGGTTTGGGTTTTTTTTTTTTTTTTTTTTTTTTTTTTTTTTGTTGGGTAAAAAAAAAAAGGGAAAAAAAGGGGG